CAAATGCTGTGGGGTTCGGCATTACGAGGGCTGGGCACGACAAGGCCATTTGCCATTGAGCACTGCAGAAATACTGTGGGTTTGGGCACTCACGTTGCCATGGGCACTGCAGGGATACTTTGGGGTTGGGCACTGAAAGGATACTCTGCTGTTGGGCGCTGCAGGAATACTCCGCGGATGCTGTTGGTCACTCAGGGATTACTGTGCTGTTGTTGGGCACTGCAGGGATACTCTGCGGTTGCTGTTGGTCACTGGATGGATACTCATTGGTTGGGCACTGTAGGGATACTTGGTGGTTGGGCACTGCAAGATACTTGGTGGTTGGGCACTGCAGGGATACTTGGTGGTTGCGGGCCAAAATAATTAGAATAGTGGAGAATCCAATGGAAAAGGAAACGGAAACTTGAATAGAGAAAGGGTCAACACGTGTAGTGGTTGAATGTAGGGATTTGTCTCCCGTAGGGGCGATGCCCCTGCTCATAGTAAATATTCATAGTATGGTATCCTTGCATGATGGAACAAGCTAGCGTGGAGGGGTGGGGTCTTATTTGAAGGCATATGGGAATCTTATAGGCGTTCTTGGAGTCACCTTAAAAGAATATGCCATCTTTGCCAGGACTCACATGAGGCATGTGGATTTCTCGAAGCTAGAGCCCCCAATACTTGCATAGATCGGGGTCCGTCCTCTTGATGTCTGCCATACCTATGCACAATCCTATAAACCACATGATAACTGGCAAATTCCACTCCATCTCATACGGGCAGAGGGTCGGAAATGATTTTCGACGCCCCTAAGATGAAATCCGAAACCTCTGCTGGAGCTCCTTACTGTAACATATAAGGGTTTATGTTTAGGTAATATCAGGATGAAGTACAGAGTGGAGCAATGGATCTGCATATCCCCGAGAAACCACCCGAACATATAGCAGTTCGCAATTTTCTTTTCCCTTCCCTCATTCCCCGCTTCACAACCGCTAACTCTAAACACCATAACAGCTTGCAAAATCTTTGCCATACCCTACAAAACCAGCAGAACATACCTGTAAACCATCGTGTAGACCAAATTCCATGTCATGTTCCATTTTCTCTTCCAATTGATTCTTCATGATAGGGGAGTTGTCTCGAAACCCTACAAAACCTGTAAATTTTCCATAGCGCGCTCCTATTAGTCCTGTAAAGGGCCTACAGACCCCTATAAATCCTATAAGCCATATTCTACTCGGCCCCTAAACCCTAAACCCTAAACCGCAGGCCTTCCGGTACTCCATGGATAGGTGTATCGCCAGGTCGGCCTGCTTCTGAACGGCTTTCAGGTCCGACTCCGCCTGATGTAGGCTTTAAAGGAAGGTTTAGGGGCTTAGGGGTTAGGAATTGGGTTTAGGGTTCAGGGTTCAGGGTTTAGGGTTTAGGGTTTGGGCTTAGGGATTGGAGGCTTAGATTTTGGACGAGGGATAACGGTTTCGGGATTAGGGCTTAGGGAGTCAAGGTTTAATCTCCTAGGGCTGCAAGTATCTCAAAGTAGATATTATGTACAGGCTTGAGGACCCAAAGCAGGTCACATTATTGTTTGAGGATTGAAGGTTTCAAGGTTTAGGATTTAAGGTTTAGGGTTTAAGGTTTGAGGTTTTAAGGTTCAGGATTTAAGTTTTAGCGTTTAAGGGTTTTAAGGTTTAAGGCTTAGTGTTTTAAGGTTTGAAGCCGGCCTGCTTCTGGACAGCTTTCAGATCCTGCGGGGCAAGAGCTTTCAAGAAGGCAGCAGTCCTACACTAGACTAGGTAGGTTTGGGGGCCCTAAAAACATTCTGAGGAATATGACTTTAGAATGATTCTTTAGGAATTCAGGATAACAAACATTAAAAAATGTGTTCAAGCCCAACGCTGGGTAGTCTTCGAATTTCGCCGAAATCGCAAGAGTAGGGCTGCAGGTGGGTTGTTGAAGCTCGTTCATGAAATCGCCATCTAGCGTGGATATTTTGCCTTCAGAGAAGGTGAGGGGGCGCTTCTCACAAACAACTGTTTCTTCGGAATTTTAGGGAGACATGGGGACTGCCAGAGAAATTCAAGGGCCTCTACTCCGAATTGCACAAGGATCGCTTTGTTGAGAAGCTCCGAAAACTGCGAAACGGAGGCCAAGCGCTTCTTAAGCCGAGGGCATGGGTTAATTTGGTCCTATGGAGCACAAAGTTAAGAGCTGAGACAGCCTCTGTGATGTCACTATGCATTCCCTAGTCCATTAACCCTAAAACCCTGATCCCAAATCAAAATCTCTAGTTCCAAAACCCCTGTGCCTCAAACCTGATCCCTAAAGCTCAATATAACCCTAATAGAACCCCAATAAAAACCCCAATTTTACCCCAAAATAACCCTAATATAACCCCGATATCACTATAACTCCAATATAAACGCAAGATAACCACAGCATAACCCTAGGTCCTCTGGCGTGCTCTTCGCTGCTTCCGATTTCAGCTTCGCGGCGTCCGTTTTTAGCTTTGCATTCTCCTCGCTCAACTTGGTCTTTTCAGCCTGGTCCACTACAGACCGACATCACGTCGAGGACCGACCCCTATCATCCCTTTGTGTCCCCAAATAACCCAGATGGGTAGTATGAGTAGCTCCCATAATCAGGGTCATTTTGGTACCTCTGAACATGGGCCGTAATATACTCTAAAACCAAAAAGGACCCATGATTTTGGAACTACCCATATATCCCTGTGGTGTCTTAGGGTGCCTTTAAAAAACCACTCCCCCCAAAAATGGTCCACAGTAATCCCCTCCCCCTAATATTATACCACCCACCCCCCTGCCCCCTAACATTAAATATGCCCAATATACTATAATTTACCACAATGGGGAGTATTCAATATTAGGGGGGTGGGGAGGTTGAATATCAGGGGGAGGGGACTATCAAGCACAACCTGGGGTACCGGCGGTAATCATGTCGATGCGCTTTGTGTGCAGCCTCAGTTTCACGTAAGCTTGCGAAAGGAGGCCCTCCCTAGGAATGCATACGTAGAGAATGGAATTGGAAACCGTAACTACTCTATTGCTTGGTGTTTAGGTTTTTTGGATTGAGGCTGGTCGTCTCTTGCTGTTTGAATCGTAAACTTACCCTCTACTTGGGAATAGCGTAGCCCAGCTTAGACTGTTGCTCACCACATCTACCGGAAAGTTACGACGTGATGGTCCCTCCTGGTGTCCTGATTCAATCTGACCCATACTAGTTTGGGGGCCGTAGATGCGCGATAAGGGGGAGGAAGGTTCAGACACTTATCAATGTTCTTGAGGAAGCATGTATTCACTGACCAGACCCAGAAAAACCCTAAACCTTAAGTCGCATATCTTACTTGACCTGCCGGCTCTACCGAGCTATCGTCCTTCTACGAAGGCCTCTGAACTGATACGTAGGAGTTTCCCAAAAAAGTATGTCTTTTGGGGGGTCTCTGTTATGCGCCCCATAATATTTGTTCCCCTACTAATGGAAACTACCACTTATCCTCCTTGTTTCCGGCAGGTGTATCCCGCTGGCGCAATCAAACTCAGGAATTGAAGCCCGAAGCTCCCCTTGATTCTCAAAACCAGAGAAGTCTACACATGGCAACTCCTCAAGAGTAGAAACAGCTAGGATTTTCCTGACGTTTTTGGGCAGAACCACCTACAGAAGTTTTAGCCTGAGGCCCTGACTGGTTCATGTTCTCGATGGATTTCAAACGCTTCTCCTAGCAATGCAGAGAGCTTATTGACGTCTACCAGGAGTAACTTCCGGTCCTGGTCTTTCACTTCCTTCTGCAAGTCGTCGCGTTCCTCCACAGCCAACTACCCTCACCGACGGTCTTGCCCGTTGTATGCTATTCACAATCCAAGCTGTTTGGTTCGGCTATCCCAGGCAAAGGCGTTGATCGTGGTTTGCCTTCCAACGCATCCCTGAAAGTCTATGATCTCGACGCGTAACCAAAACAACGTGAAACCATCACAAGTGAGCAACATCAAGCTCGTGAGAAGCAGTGCCTTGGTAAGGGTCTGGTTCTTGCTGCGATCCTCCTCCAGTTTTGCCTGCCGGCACCCGCGAAAGCTGCAGCATTGACTCACACACCCTTGCATTTCCAAAGCGAACTCATCCAAAACTGCTAGCGCGCTGGCTCTTTTTTTGCCAAGGGCAGCACTAAATTAGAGGCCCTTCGTCTCCACGCGTTGCTCATACTGTGGTTTCCATCAACAGGGGAACCCTAAAAATGGAGACCTGATTTTTTGGAAATTTACATATAGACTCCTTCAGAAACACTTGCCGGCGTACGCTGATCCCCTAGTGCTCAAAGTTATCCAAGCAGCCAACGAGATACCAATCTCCAGTGGCTTGTTTCATTTCGGATTGCAGAATGATGGTTTGGGGGATTCCACAAGCAGAGGACCCCATTATAGACCCCCACATATGATCTGCATCGTGTGGACTCACATGGGGGCGGAGGGCTTTTATCTGGGGAGGGGACTTGCAAAGCTCCACAGGCCTCGAGCTGCGAAATCTTCTTGCTGAGCTCGGAGTGTTGCACTCCCTGAGAAGCTTGGCAGGTTTCTGTAATCACAGGCGCGCCTACACCACTAAAGCCAGCTAAAAGGAAGATCAAGGGTTTAAGGTTGACATAGGAATTCTGTTATTGTGTGCCGAAATTAGGGGTTGAAGCGGTACGGTTGGCAACTTCGTAGCCTCTGTCAGCGCAGAACGAGTAGCCAGTTTCCCAGACTATGCTAGTGAACATGAAAGTTTCTGAGCCCGCGTCGGATTCTTGCGCCTGCTTCTCCTGCCACGCAGACTACCAGGAAACCATGCACTCGGCAGCGTAAAGATTAAGGACTGGGACAGAATTCTTGTGGCAAACCATGTTGCGTTGTATCGAATTTACAGCAATCCGGTGGCATCGCGTTGCTACACACCTCGCTTAGAACTTAGGAGGTAACAAGAGCTCCGTGTATTGCATCTCCCCTAATATGATATACAGCATCCCCCCGTGCTCGACCCTTGGCCCCACACCCTGAAGCCTTGTAACCTTTAATCTTGGGCACGGGTCAAATTTACTACAGTATCATCCTTTGGCGGTATCAGATTGTCATGATCCCTTGCCCTACTATTAAAGAATCCCCCTTCCCCCCTAATATATTAGATGTACCCAATATATAATAAAATACCACAATGGGAGTACTTGAAATTAGGAGAGTGGTGGGTTGAATACTTGGGGAAGGGAATTAGAATGGATCCTTCGAAGCTGCCGGAACTAAAGCAATTTGAGAAATTCACCACCGACAGCTGCGTCGAGGCATCTGCTACGCGTTGAAATATCGTTTTCGAGTCAGTTACCCTTGTACTTGTTCAAGGATTTAATGGGGATGTTGTTTTAAAAACAAATCCGTCCTAAGCCCTAAACCCTAAAACCTAAACCCGAAACCCAAAAAAATCTAAACTCTAAACCCTAAACACCCAAAAACCCTAAACGCTAAGCCCTAAGCCCTTAACCCTAAACCCAAACCCGATACGCATCGCACCTTCTCTTTGGCTGCCTTCTCAAGGTCTTCCCTCGCCTGACAAATTGCAAAAAACTAATAGGCCATAGGGTTTTAGGGTTTAGGGGTTTAGTGTTTAAGGTAGGGTTTTAGGGGTTTAGGGTTTGGGGCATTTGCGGTTACTTTAAAAAATTGGCTGTCCCACTCATTCTTTACGTGGTAGTTTCCCAGAATAGTGGGACCCCAATATACTCATATACTATAGTCCTTATTATAGGGACCCCCAAAAAAGGTACCCTTAATTTTGGGAAACCCTCCAGGTATGGATAGGAACCATGATCTTGGAAATGGCTGTTTCTGCTTTACACCCTCCAGCAGCCTGCAGGTCCAAGTCCGCTTGCTGTAGGCTTAAAAACGGGGGATTGGGGGCTTGGGGGTTTCGATCTTGGAACTATGGATAACGGTTTCGGGAGTAGGGCTTACAATTTAGGACTTAAGGAGTCAAGGTTTAATCTCCCAGGGCTGCAAGTATCTCAGAGTAGATATTATGTACAGGCTTGAGGACCCAGAGCAGGTCTCATTATTGGTTGGGGATTGAAGGTTTCAAGGTTTAGGACTTACGGTTTAGGTTTAAGGTTTGAGGTTTTAAGGTTCAGGGTTTAAGTCTTAGCGTTTAAGGTTTAAGGCTTAGTGTGTTAGTGTTTGAAGTCGGCCTGCTTCTGGACAGCTTTCAGATCCTGCGGGGCAAGAGCTTTCAAGATGGTAGCAGTCCTACACGAAACTAGGGTAGGTTTGGGGGCCCTATAAACATTCTAAGGAACATGACCTTTGAAGGATTCTTTAGGAATTCAAGATTACAAACATTAAAAAATGTGTTCAAGCCCGACGCTGGTTAGTCTTCGAATTTCGCCGAAATCGCAAGAGTAGGGCTGTAGGTGGGTCGTTGAAGCTCGTTCATGAAATCGCCATTTAACGTGGATGTTTTGCCTGCAGAGAAAGTGAGGGGGCGCTTCTCATAAACAACTGTTGCCTCGGGATTTTAGGGAGACATGGGGACTGCCAGAGAAATTCAAGGGCCTCTACTCAGGATTGCACAAGGATCAAATCGCACCACTAGAATCACAGGATACCCCAGCCCTCCACACTTCTACCAAGGTCAGGGCAGCCCGAACTTCGCTCCGCGTCTCCTCTACTCCAGCAAAGAGGCGCATGCTGGTGAAACCCTTGACGTAGACAAGCCTCTGCACTTCAGGAGGAACACCGGCATCGTCCATGTGATACTTCAACTCACTCTCCACCTTGGCTAGAAGATCCGCGTCGGATGGCATTCCGACGCAGGTCACCTCACATTCGGCATGCAATAAGGTACCTACAACAAGCGGTCCGCATTCTCTGCCGGCCATTCACCTTCTGGGAAGCATGAGCGCCCCCCAAAGTCCAGGCCCCGAAGAAGAAAGTACACAGCGAATCCACGCTGAACAACCAAAGCGGACAGAAGCCTGTCTGCAATGAAGCACTTCGGGGCCCGAGACAATCTATGTCGAATCCAGACCCGGACCCGCGCCTGAAAACAGCAAAGATTAGAATCGCGTATCTGTTGCGGCGATGAGCCACGATGCTATAACAGCACCGTCAGAAAATCAAGAGTCACAACCTACTCTTGCCAGTGCAAAAATGTTGAGCACAACATAGGGTCACACAAGCGGCGAAGCCACCGACGCAGCACAACGTCCCAAGAAGTCCCTTGAAACGCACTAACCTTCCGACGAAACATCAGTACCCGACTTAGTACTGGAAGAAGTAAAACCGCTGGAAGCTGAACACTGTTCATCTGTATCCTTTGGCCGAGCGCCTTTCCGCCCGCAGTGCTTGCACGCCACGTGGTATTCAGCACCTTGCAAATCCTCCAGTGGTGTCATTTCTTCGCAGTTCTGCAGGCGCGGCGCCGCAACCTCCTTGACGATGCAGTCGCCGAAGCCGCTTCTTGCCAACCACAGCGATGAAGAAAGGCGGATCGTCAGACAGGTTGCCCCCGCCCTCCTGCACCGGCGCAGGTGGACCTGCGGCAGCTTAGGCTTCGACCAGCGGAAGAACAACCATTGCTTCGGGTTTCAACTCTTCGCGCGCAACTGCCGCCAGAGGAAGTCTCAGCTTGTCTTTTTGCATCTCTAGCTCCTCTGACGAGTAACCTCGAGTCTCCAGAAAGAGGAGAAGTTCATCAACGCCAGATTCACGAAGCTCGTGACTCTCTGGCGCCAGCAAACCTCGCACGGTGCGTTCTTGCACCTTCATGACCAGTAACCGGGCAGTTCGAACATAGTCGTCTGAGCTAGAAGACACTGACCAACGGCCACACTGACCAACGGCCTACAAAATCACGCTGGAGTCTCCAGACACGCCAACACCGACACCAGCCAGTTGTGCTTGGAATGCTCTGTCCAGAAAGAGACTACATCACCCGTGTCCAGCAGAAAATCCTGTGAGAGCTGCCACTCTGACTGCATCACTACTGGACGACGCAGCGACTTCCACAGTGACTTGGACAGAACGACTGTTTCCGGGTAAGCAGCCATGACACGCTGCACTCCAATTCAATCTTTCCTTGGGCGCGGTAGGAGATAATCGCGGTCACAGCACATGTCAGGACGGTTCCAGATCTCCCATCCAACGGTGAGCCAGTTTGCTGACACCAGATATGCTTTGCGGCAGACGAAAATCGGAAGGAACCGCACGCGCTTCTCAGGCCTGCTGGTCTTCGTTGGCTCCAAAGTACCCAAAAAGCCACGGGGCACCATGCGTAGAGAGCTGGGGTTCAAGCTGGTGAGATTACTTGATCTGCAATCGGTCCAGCTTTTTAGCAGCTTATAGAAAGCAAAGCCCCTGACGAAAAGGTCGGCAGAGACGCCCGTAACCAGCAGCTCCAGCGCAGAAATCAAGGGCAGCGACAACGGCGCTTGCCTCTTCGGCGGAGCACCTGCTTCCAGCTCCATCGTCATCTGATTCACCGCGTTCCTGACGATTGGTAGCTCGGACATCCTTTGGCCAAGGTGCACACTACCTGCTTTTTCCAGAAATGCTAAGCACGAAAGAATCGCACAAGGCACAGTGCGAGTACATGGCTCCATGCGATGCTCAAATAGCCAGTCCAGCACAACACCAACATGACTAGGACACGCTGACTGAGAGGTTGCCACGCAGTATGCGGAACTTTCGCCATCCCCTAACACGCTTGCGAATGGTCGATGCCCTGACAGAACCAATATCTGCTTGGAGTACTACCTCATGGCGCTGAGCAAGATCAGCAAGGTCAGCTGCTGGCAGTTTAGCGCCACCGTTGCAGTTCTTCCCGCTCGATGTCTGCACGCATGGCTCCATCTTTGACCTGCGCAAGCCGCTTGTCCGCCCTTGTCCGCCAAGCTCTGCGACCAATGGCACCCGACTTGGATGCAAGCCAGGCTAACGAGAACATCGAATCAGAAGGAAGAGCGCGAAAGATGCATAGAGCTTTTCCCTTACTGCATTGCGTGGCCAAGGGGACGAGGGCTCGTCGCTTGTGAAAACGACCGCACAGCAGACGAGCTTGCGTTTGCAAATCCAGCAATATCCGTCTGGCAGCTGCAAATCCCGCTAAATTGCCATCGCCCACGAAAGGCACCAGCAGAGCGTGCAGATCGTCTTCACCCTCGAATAGGTATGCGAGAACCTCACAAGAGGGCGTATCTCCGTCGCCCTTGCCGTAAGCAACCTTGAAACTTAAGGGCCGAGAATTCCACAGCAAGGACAGATCCATCGCGCGTACAGAAAAACAAAATGTCCCTACTTACACAAGGCTAGGCCTAACGCCCAACCCCCTGCTAAGCTGGAGGTGCAACTGTGGGCACACAAAAACTGCGAACAATCATGCGCTCGCACTAACATGTCCATGCACACATGCGCAGTCACTCACACACGAGTCATGGTGCTTTACTGCGCGCAAGCATGCATCTCGCAGGAAACGGAAGCCATGCGCTTCTTAAGCCGAGGGCATGGGTTCATTTGGTCCCTATGGAGCACAAAGTTAAGAGCTGAGACAGCCTCTATGATGACATTATGTATCCCCTAGTCCATAAGCCCTAAAACCTTAACCCCAAAACCCCAAATCTCAATCCCTAATTCCAAAACCCCTATGCCTCAAACCTGATCCCTAGAGCTCAATATAACCCTAATAGAACCCCAATAAAACCTTAACATAACCCTGATATAACCCCAAGATAATCCTAAGATAACCCCAACATAACCCTAGCAGAACCCCAATATAACCACAATATAACCCTAGGTCCTCTGGCGTGCTCTTCGCTGCTTCCGATTTCAGCTTCGCAGCGTCCGCTTTTAGCTTTGTGTTCTCCTCGCTCAACTTCGTTTTTTCAGCCTGGCCCACTACAGACTGACATCATGTCGAGGACCGACCTCTATCATCCCTTTGTGTCCCAATACAACCCATATGGGTAGTATATATCCCTGTGGTGTCTAAGGGCGCCCTTTTTTTAAAGAACCACCCCACCCCCCGAAATAGGGTCTTCAGTAATCCCCTCCTCCTAAACTGATACCACCCCCAACACCCCCTAACATTAAACATGCCCAATATACTATACCTTACCGCAATGGGGAGTATTCTATATTAGGGGGTTGGGGAGGTTTAATATTAGGGGAGGGGACTATAAAGCACAACCTGGGGTAGCGGCGGTAATCATGTCGATGCGCTTTGTGTGCAGCCTCAGTTTCAGGTAAGCCTGCGACAGAAGGCCCTCCCTAGAAATGCATGCGTAGAGAGTGGAAAGGGAAACCGCTACTACTCTATTGCTTGGTGTTTAGATTTTTGGGAATTAGGCTGGTCGTATCGTAAACTTACCCTATGCTTGGGAATATGGTACCCCGGATTAGAATATTGCTCACCAATCTGTAGCACATCTACCAGAAAGTTACGGCGTGATGGTCCCTTCTGGCCTTCTGGTGTCCTGATGCAATGTGGCTCATACTAGTTTGGGGGCCGTAGGGGCGCGATAAGGGGCAGGAAGGTTCAGCCTCATGGAGACACGTATCAATGTTCTTGAGGAAGCGTGTATTCACTGACCAGACCCGGAACAAACCTAAACATTAAGTTGCATATCTTACTTGACCTGCCGGCTCTACCGAGCTATCGTCCTTCTACGAAGGCCTCTTAAGTGCTACGTAGCGGTTTCCCCCAAAAAGTATGTCTGTAGGGGGTCCCTATTATGAGGAGTATATTATTTGGGGGTCTATATTGGGGTCTCCCTACGTATGGAAACTACCACTTATCCTCCTTGTTTCCAGCAGGTGTATCCTGGTGGCGCAATCAAACTCAGGAATTGAAGTCCGCAGTTCCCCTTGATTCTCAAAACAAGAGAAGTCTACACATGGCAACTCCTCAAGAGCAGAAACAGCTACACTCCCCCAAACTAACATGGAAACTCATATGGCCCCCTTTTAGAAGGACTGTAGTCTTTACAAGGCCCTTTTTGGGTTTCCATGTTAGTTTCCAGGAGTGTAGGATTTTCCTGAAATTTTGGGCAGAACAACCTAGAGAAGTTGTAGCCTGAGACCATGACTGCTTCAGGCCCTCGATGGCTTTCAAACGCTTCTCCTAGCAATGCACAGGGCTGCGACCACACACAGGAAAAACCCAACAATGAGGCTTTAGGGTTTTGGGTTTAGGGGTTTAGGGTTTAGGATTTAGGGTTTAGGGGTTTAGAGAAAAACCTAACATTGAGGAACACTCAGGGACCCTGTAGGATTTCTACTTGTATGTCATGGGTCTGAGTGTCATTGATGGAGGGGCCTCTTGGGGCTTTGGCTAAGGGTTGAGGGGCGAATATGCCTCCAGTAAGGATACCCGCCGTGTACCTACACACCTAAAATTGTCCTTGAATCGAAATCAGGATCAATAGTAGGAGGTGAAACAGAAATACCAATAGCAAGAAACATCAGAATGCCAATGAGATTGCAGAATGGTTTTCGTTCTGCCAGCAGGGTTGAGGGCGCTTTAGGGAACCCTAGGGTGTCCCTTAACATATAGCGGTTTCCATCAAACGAGGGCCTCAAGGAAGACCCCAACATACTATGATCCTTTCATATCCTGTCTATAGGGACTCCAGGGAAGCCTTTTGGACACATTCATCTGGAAACATGCCACAAAGATTGCATTTTCGGAGCGTTGGAACTCCCTATACGTCCTCCTGCGCAGATCATTGAGACAAGTCCCTTGTGCAAGTGGGGCCCTCTGAGTATTTTTCTCAGTAGGGTATGAGAAACAGAAAAAACAAGATCAAAACATACGGGTTACGGCAGGGATCCAGTACTGCATTCCTGACTTCAAGCCAGCAAGTGGACACATCGACCCTCAAATTCGTGCAGCATTTGGCACACTGCCCAAAAATCCACCCCAAGTTGGTAATCCTGCCGTAAGCACACAAGGGTTTAGGGTTGGTTGTTTCGGGTTTAGGGAGCGTACTGAATCTGGTCTACCAGGCGTAACTTCCAGTCCTGATCTTTCACTTCCTTCTGCAAGTCGTCGCGTTCCTCCACAGCCAACTACCCTCACCGATGGTCTTGCGCGTTGTATGCTATTCACAATCCAAGCTGTTTGGTTCAGAGTGCAGAATTAAATTCACACGACTATCCCAGGCAAAGGCTTTGATAGTGGTTTGCCTTCCAACGCATCCCTGAAGGTCTGTGATCTTGACGCGTAACCAAAACAACTTGAAACCATCGCAAGTGAGCAACATCAAGCTCGTGAGAAGCAGTGCCTTGGTAAGGGTCTGGTTCTTGCTGCGATCCTCCTCCAGTTTTGCCTGCCGGCACCCGCGAAAGCTACAGTGAAGCATTGACTCACATACCCCTGCATTTCCAAAGCAAGCTCATCCAAAACTGTTAATGCACTTGCTTTTTACTGCGAAGGGCCGCACCAAATTAGAGGCCCTTCGGCTCCATGTTGCTCATACCCATCGTACGCTGATCCCCTAGTGCTCAAAGTTATCCAAGCAGCCAACGAGATGGCAATCTCCAGTGGCTTGTTTCATTTCGGATTGCATCCTACTGCGCTGAATGATGGTTTGGGGGATTCTACAAGCAGAGGACCCCATTATAGACCCCCAAATATGATCCGCATTGTGTGGACTCACATGGGGGCGGAGGGCTTTTATCTGGGGAGGGGACTTGCAAAGCTCCACAGGCCTCGAGCTGCGAAATCTTCTTGCTGAGCTCGGAGTGTTGCACTCCCTGAGAAGCTTGGCAGGTTTCTGTGATCACAGGCGCGCGTACACCACTAAAGCCAGCTAAAAGGAAGATCAAGGGTTTAAGGTTGACATAGGAATTCTGTTATTGTGTGCCGAAATTAGGGGTTGAAGCGGTACGGTTGGCAACTTCGTACCTTCCAAGACTATGCTAGTGGACACGAAATTTTCTGAGCCCGCGTCGGATTCTTGCGCCTGCTTCTCCTGCCACGCAGACAACAAGGAAACCATGCATTCTCGGGCAGCGTAAAGATTATATAAAGACTCGGACAGAATTCTTGTGGCAAACCATGTTGCGTTGTATCGAATTTACAGCAATCCGGTGGCATCGCTTTGCTACACACCTCGCTTAGAACGTAGGAGGTAACAAGAGCTCCGTGCATTGAATCTTGCCCCCCTTGGCCCCACACCCTGAAGCCTTGTAACTTAACCTTCAATCTTGTGCATGGGCCAAACTTACTACAGCCTTTGGCAGTATCGGGTTGTCATGATCCCTTGCCCCCTAATATTAGATGTACCCAATTTCTTATAATAGACCACGGTGGGAGTATTTGATATTAGGAGAGTGGTGGGTTGAAATACTTGGGGAAGGGAATTCTAATGGATCCTTCGATGCTGCCGGAACTAAAGCAATTTGAGAAATTCACCACTGAGACCTTCGTCAAGGTATCTGCTACGAATTAGAATATCGTTTTCGAGTCATTTACTTTTTACTGGTTCGAGGATGAAATGGGGATGGCGTTTAAAAACAAATCTGGACCAGTACGCAGTGCAAGGGTGGCACCTTCTCTTTGGCTTCCTTCTCAACGTCTTCCCTCGCCTGACAAATTGCAAAAACTAGGAGGAGCATTTGCGGTTTCTCTAAATTTTGGTTGTCCCAATCAATCTGGAGGTATAGATAGAAAACATGATCTTGGAAATGGCTGTTTCTGCCCTCCACCCTTCAGCCAACAACGGCGGCACTGCTGGCTAAAGCACACTATGCTTCAACATCCCGCTTTTTTGGCTTCGACTGCACCCTAAACCCTAAAGCCTAAACCCTAAGGTTCAGGTTCCAGGGTGTTGGGTTCCTGGATTGTGGAAGCTTAGGACGGGAGACTTCATGAGGTGCTTACGATGCGTAGTAGGTACGCTTTCTTGGAAGGGTAAAGTAATGCGCCATAGCCTCATGGCGCCTTTCCACATGAAGCTACCATAGCTCACTGCACAATAATTGATTACTGTCCTCACAGCAGCAATGCAACTTATAGTTTGCACAGCATGCACCAGAACAATTGACCTCGTGCTCTGCATCTTTCTGCACGCGACTATCAAACTAGTTTGGGTTTTCGCTGCCATGATTCCGTCGAGTCCAACTTACCGATCAGAGCAGACGGCGAGGCAACTGAATTCACACAGGGCGCCTGCTTAACCCGAAGCCTGAAAGACTCCCGGTGACAAGAAAAGATAACTCAATGTGCGAACAGGCTATTCGCTGCCTTTCCGGAAACTTCCACTCGGAACACAGGTCATGATGCTTCTGCCTCCCTGACAGAGCTTTTCTTGGGCGCGAACAGCCACCCCTTCTGGATGTCGACTGAAATCCCCCTAGACCTATAATGACAACTCTTTTCTTCAATGAATCTTTCTAGGGCTATACTCTAAAAGAAATTGAAAGCACTTCCTAAGAGAATAGGAGTTATTACATTGGGGTACATAGGGGTATATATTGGGGTTATATAGGGATAATGGAAAAGAAAATGGAAACTACTATAGTCCAACCTCCTCTCTCACGACACTGGGTTGCTGTTAAGGAACTTGAATTAAGTTACTATATGGGGGGAACCCTATTCTTTACTATATATACCCATTATGGTAACTTAATTCAAGTTCCTTAACAGCAAGCCAGGACAGGCTAGGCCTTGATCAAGGCCTCATTCTTGCTGCGCTCCTCTTGGAGGATCTTCTGCTCTGCCTCCAAATCGGCCTCCGTGGCGGGTTTAAAGCTGAGTCAGCGGTAATGACGGCTACATGACCCATGCGTATGTATACATATATATATATGTATATGTGGGGGTTGAGGGGTTTAGGGTTTAGGGATATAAATCTATATATACCTACCTATCTATATCTGTGTGTAAGCATTACATAGCCACTCTACAAGCATTGTTACATGGATGATGGGCTTAGCTTCCGGCCTTTTTGGGGGCTTGGTACCCTACAACGCTGTAATTAATCCCCCCTCTCCCCCTCCTACTACTAATAAAGCCCACCGTTTAGGGTTTAGGCTTTGCGCTGCGATGCTATATTGAAAAGTAGTCTGCCATAGTCCGAGGTAAAGTAGGAGTATCTAGGGGGAAAGGAAAACAGTGGAAACTGCCACATGAGCTACTGTCTAAACTCCTAGTATCCCCCTTAGTAACCCCTATAGTAGTCCCCTATATAATCCCCTATGAATCCCCCTTTAAAGGAGTTTAGACTATAGCTCACATAATGTAGGGTTTGGGGGTTGTCCAAATTCTGGTCCCTTCTTTGGGGAGTACCCTAAATATTCTGGGTCAATCTATACATGGGGCCCCAAGAAGAGAACAGCAATTTCATAGTTTTGTTGCTACAAGTATTATTACTACTAGTATCGTTCTTGCTACTCTATTTGGGATGCGTGAAAAGTCCATGACTCTCCTGTCTTTCCTTCCCTTAATGACGTAAAGATCCGAGATAGTTGGTAGTCGTAGAACAAATGCAGGAACCACGATGGAGCCAACAGTGGTCGGCGCCGTCGTTGTTCTAAACACATTTGGGTTGTTCTCAAAACTGTGGCCCCTTTTGGTTATAGAAGATAATATACTAAGGCACCGAATATCTACGGGTACCAAACCGGGATCCTAGTTTTGGGAACTACTCATTTGCTTCAGAAGTTCTTTCCAGTCCATCCCGCTTCAAAGGTGTTTTGCCATACTAGCACTGGGATCTTGATCAATCACTCTCTTCATCAAGCACCTTGCAAGATGCCAAGAGCAGTCTATAAAGCGACAGCTCAAGCAGCATTAAACCCTAAAAAGCCTATAGGCTGGGTCCTGTACAGGGTTGACCACAGCAACGCGTTGATAGCAAACGTCCTGCATGACCTCCAAATACTTTACACCTGGGTGGTATTCAGCATAGTCAGGTCACGGAGGATTCTGGGTATCAACCCCTAAGCTGTTAACCCGCTTAAGCCCCAACTCATCTAGTAACTTCCATGTTTTGCATTCTTCCTCCGGCCCTATAAATGCACACTACATACTACATACTTGATGTCACAAGCCCTAGGCAACAGTACGGACATGAATACCGTGCCTGCCGGGCTTCCATCTCTGCATCCTTTTGCTTTAAGTTCTCCTGAGGGTGCTGCGATGGATGGATAAAAGCTTGTACCATGTAAGATCTTGCATAGGAGCTATAGTCCAAACTGCTAGTATCCCCCTTAGTATCCTGGGTTCAGGGTTTAGGATTTGGGGTTTTGGGTTTAGGGCCTAAACTCCGAGTATCCCCGTTAATTACGCCCTATGAGTCCCCTATATAACCCCCTTTAAGGAGTTTAGACTACAGCTCATACACGCAATATACATCACCACCGCAGCGTAGGGCATCAGGTGTACAGCGTGGTGCAGGATTTGGCCCATCCGAATACCACCACAAGAGCTCAAACAATGAACACCTCAGGGACAAACTTCCACATAAACTTCGCGTTTGATGCGCTTCCCTGCTTTCTGAACCCTAACCCTAGACAAGCTCGGATGAAGATCCCTGTCGTGTTCCGCTATCAACTCAAACCACACATATTGACAAGCTGCGATGCCTAGAAAATTATGCTCTTCAACAAGCATTCTATTGCATCCATTCACCCCCTAAACCCCAAACCCCAAAAGGGCCCCGAATTTTGGGCTGATCCCTGGCTCATCCCTTGCCACTTATGCCTACGCGCCTGTCTGGCCACATCAAAAACTGCTGGCCATGCGGCAGGGTGTACTGGGTCGCTGTTACTGAGCTTGAATCCAGGTGCCAGAATACGGACATCTATCAAATCACATGGCTTCCTTCTGAGGGGGACTTACTTCAAGTTCCTCAGAAGCGACCCAAATTCAGGATCTGGGCAATGGTGAGGAAGAATTAGTAGCGAAGAGATCGTCCAGAACTACCTTGCCAACGCGCAACTCCTGCACAATCCGAATCCGCCCTAACCCATAATATCCGTCATTTTGGGAAATTCCTGTAGCCTTTCATACTAAACTCTAAACCTTGCGCTTAGAATGTCTTGATCCGTGTCTAGCCCCTGCAAAGGAGGGGTTGCACAACGAGTAGGGCTTGCACAACTTGAGCAAATGAGTGGTTTTTGTTGGTGATTGAACCTAGAAAAATTATATTCTTCTCACAAGATACTATTCCCAAGAGGGACATAATCTCACTTTATCCGAAAGCTATCCCCATAGAATCCTCACTGGGGACCCTCGCAATCACTTTCCCATACATCTCTAGGCCTCCCGCACTTCAGAATCCCCAATCTAAGTACAAATCTACCCTAGAACCTGAACCCTAAACCCTAAACCCTTAACCCCAAACCCTACAAATCTGCCCTAAACCCTATAAACCCCAAACCCTACACCGACCCAACCTCGAGCTGCGAAATCTTTTTCTGCAGCTCGGCCTGCTGGGCCTTGGGGTGACTTTGGGGCTTAGCAGATGGGGTTTAGGGTTTAGGGTTTTAAGCGCTTATGACTAGAAGCCCCCCGTAACCTAGGGACCAAAAAGGTCACCCTTTGTGAATATCGCTGATTTTTAGAAAGAACTTAGGACCCCCATAAAGGAAAAAGGGCTTACTCCACGCCACTAATGAGGTTTAGGGTGCTTAAGGTAGACCCTTGATTAAGAAACTCCCTTCTCGTAATAGGGATTATAATAGGGATCACAATGTGAGGGCCCTCAAAAGGAGGGGGCTTATTAATCAGGAGTCTACATCAGGGGTTGTGAGTTAAGGCTTTTCGGACGGGCTCGTGCCGTGAGGCTTGCGGGCTTTGGAGATCAATCGTGTGAGACTTGAGCTTGTGAGGGAGTGTAATATGGGGTATATAGGGATAGATAGGTCATAATAGAAAAGCAAATGGAAACTAGTATAATGGGTTACATAGGGAGTATGGGGTATATAGCCGGTCCCGGTTCATGAACGCCTGTTGATTAAGGACCCTTTTATGAGCCAGACTCATATTAATATGGTAACCCTAGTATAGACCCCTACATGCAACAAGCATTTTTATGGGAACCACCTAACAACCCTACTTTTGGGAAAACCCCCATATCTGGGACAAGCGCTGGTTTAGCTTCAGTCGGGTTCCCGACAGGGCAGTAACAAGAAGGACGAATATCCCGCGCAGTCCACGCCATGCCTTCATGTCATTTAATGATCCCCACATTCTGGAACCCTTTCTTGCAGTAAACACTAAACACTAAACTCCAAACCCTAGAGCCTAATAGGGGAGGGGATTAAACAGATCTCGACCAAGCCCATGACTCACAACTTCACTAGCAGAGCTCTGCCTCTATTCGCTCCTTTCCAAAAAGCCCAAATAATCTATAGTCTAAACTCCTAGTATTCCCCTTAATAACTCCTATAACATAGGGTTGTTTTTGTTGTTGTCGGAACTCAAGAACATTAAGTTGCAAGCTGAATTCAAACCTGCAAAGAGCCTGACAGTATAGGGTTGAGGGTTTTGGGTCTTGTATCCCCCTTAATAACACCTATAATGGTCCCCTGTATAATCTCCTATGAAGCCCTCTTTCAGGAGTTTAGACTACAGCTCGAATGACTGCAAACAAACTCCCAAGGGACCATGGGACAACAAGAAACCCCTCCGTGCCAAATATGTAGACCATGAGCATGCTGATAGGTTGGGTACTGCCCCCACCCAGTAACAGTCTATATTAGGGGTCCTATTAAGGGCTATATATAACCATATTATAATTCTTATCCAACTNNCCTGAACCCTAAACCCCCAATCCCTAAACCCTAAACCCCTAAACCCTAAACCCTGAACCCTAAACCCTAAACCCCCAACTGATAGGGATCCGGCGTTCCACTTGTCAAAGTCTTCCTGCTTGAACTTGCAGGCCTTCCAAGAACTGTTCAGTCATTAATGTAAACCCATGATTCATAATATTGGGGTTATATAGGGATAATGGAAAACAACATGGAAACTACTATAGAGGGTTCAGGGTTTAGGGTTAGATTTGGGTAGATCCATGATTAATAAACCCCCTCCTTTCAAGGGCCTTAATATTAGGATCCCTATTATAATCCTTATTAAGGGGAGGGGGTGTATTAATCAGGGGTCTACATTACCCACCATATAGGGCTATATAGGGATTGTATAGGGATGATGGAAAAGAAAATGGAGGTTACTGTTTGGGGTTTAGGGGTCTAGGAATACTAACCCCAATAATGGAGAATAAATGGAAAAGACAATGGAAAATGAAGTGAAAACTGGGATTATATAGGGGATAAGAAGACGACAAATGACCACGATCAACTGAGGTCCGGGCGTCGTACAGCGACTTCCATTCTTCTGCTTTGCTCTTATGCGAGTCCATCTCTGCTTCGAGTTCTGCATTTCCTGTGGTCAGGCAGAAGGTCGCAGCAGAGGCTGGTTGTTCTTCCCTTTATCTACATGGCACTTAGGACCCCCTACTAAGGGCTAACGCTTACGTACCTATAATAGGAGTACAAGGGAATGCCAAAAGGGTTAGGGCCTAGGTCTAAGGTGCAAGTTAAGTCCCAAGGAGTTATCAAAGCCCCATTACGTGAAATACCCCCCCCCCTTGTTGTAAGCATTGCCAAGATGGAGAAAGCATGAATGCCAGGCGACTAAGAAATTACTTATGCTGGAAATGGTGTAGCGCAAAATAGGCCAACTCTGAAAGGCATGGAAGGCCATGAAAACATTTCAAGGCATGTGGCTGGGGAGTCTACTACATTTATGAGACTTCATGAGGGGCCGTAGGGGATAGAACATTTCAGGACAACCTAAGGACACGCCCAAAGCCTAGGCGAAGCCCAGAATAAACCTGTTCTGACGATTTCCAAGGCAAGCTTCTCCCTTCTTCATGACACTGGCAAGCGGAAAGAAAAGGATGTTGCTGGGCTTGATTCTTGAGAAAAGGCGGGCGCCCTAGTCATTTTGTTACGAAGCCTAGGTCCTCAAACTACCCAGGCTACCCCTTGGAAAGCCAGGAGTATCGAGTCTTTTGCGGTCCAGCAGGGTGTAACTTAGGTCAACTCCCCCTAGAGTAATAGCTCCTTAATATTAATATACCTACAATAGACCCTGTTGGTACCCAGTACTGGGTGGGGATTTACCCAAGGTGTCACCCAGTTCATGTTCCTTTCAGCAATGTTTGAACTCCTCGTCTGGTTTCTTCACCTGTCAAGCTTCTCTCAAAGAAGACACGATGGAGAATGCCACGACTTTGCACATGAATCCGAGTTCACGCTTCTCTTGCGCTAGCTCTGTTCCTGCAACCCTAAACTCTATCGCAAAATTAAAGCCTGATCGCCCCGGCAGCAGACAGCATGCAACCTCCTCTACAGTCCTTATGGTAGTCCCCTCCCGGAATCCTTTCTTTGCTCAAAGTACTTTTCCGAAATGAGGGAGCCAGCAAAAAAAGAGATACACAACGATCCTGACCATATAGCCCTTTAATTTTTGACCTCCCCCCCAACTTCTCTAACGCCGTCCAAGTAGCGTTGCTTCGTCCGCTCTAGAAGCTCTTCTTGAAGCGGGGCAATTAACCTCAACACAGACAAATCAGACTTGGACTAGGGTACTGTTTGCAAAATGGAAATTTATACATGACCGCTATTTTTAGGAACCCTATGATAAGGACCCACATTATAGTGAATTTTGGGGACATCTTTAGATGGTTTTCGAGGAACTTCCCCCATCGAGTGGCTGTACCTTCTTATGGCTGTACAGGCCCATACTTTGGCCCACCCACTAATAATGGTAGCCTAGGATTATATAGAGGCCATAATATAATTACCATTATCTCTTGTGTTCATTATTAGTGGGTGGGGGCCCAACCTAACCCATACTCTAGAAGTCTCCTACAGAAATCCCATCCTCCTAAATAACAGTGGACTCCCCCCCACCCCCCCACCCCTACATAATGACTATTAGGGGGCCCTGAACTATAATCCCTGAACCCTCAACTAGGGCGGGGGATTAGTGCAAAACCGCCCTGAGGCAAGTCACTTGTTGGCCTCAATGACATTCAGCTTGTCCTCCAGGAGTTTAGGTTAGGGTTTAGGGCTTCGGGTTTAGGATTTAGGGTTAGGGCTGCCTGCCCTTGGGAAAGTGCTGTTAGTTGCAGCAACGCAGTCTGACAGGCCCGGAAGACATTACGTTTATAGTCCCCCTTAAGTAGATAGAATATAGCTTTGGGCATGTTATAATATGATCCCCAGATGCCCCATATTCTATCTACTTAAGGGGAACTGTAGGCTTTAGGGGTCTATGATTTAGGGAAGCGTTGCCAGAGTTGTTGCCTGCATAGACCTCCCTCGTGGTCGCAACAATACACTAAGTCTGACATCCCCACCCCTCAGCAAGCCAATCAGCGCAACCATGCAGTCCGTGGTGGCACCCCTCACTCTCAAAAACTCACACAAAGCAAGGCTGTATTATTTCCAATGACATTTCCCCGACATTGAAGCAACCCTCTTGCCACTAACTATGCCCCCCACTCATGTTTAGGGCTGTTCCAACACAGATGTAATATATGTAATCTTGCAGCGTGGGAGTTGTCAAATATCGCGATGATATCTAGGGGTTATACAGGGATCATGGAGGGATTCTACGTGGGTTATATAGTAAGTGTAGAGGGTCTCTGGAGGGTTATGGTATACAGGCATGCCGCAGTGTCCTTGAGGTTCCTGTTTTCTCCTTCAAGCCGGCGGTTCTCGCCCTCGATGAACTCGATCTGCATGATTCGCGCACGGGACCTGGTCCAGGTTTCGTGACTGTTGGGATCGCTATGCCTAGCCCTAAGCCCTAAACCATCAATGCCTTCAACACCCACCCTAGACGCCATAAGTAGCACGCACAAGCACTGCTTCATACTCATCCAGCAAGAGAACAAACTTGAAATCCTACGTAGGCCTGGCCCTTTGCAAGAACCTCGTCTTTGCAGGGTTTTTCTGGGCTTCCAAGATTATTAGGGGAGAGATGAACATCCGAAGCTACAACAAGCCCTCTAAAGCCCTTTAGCAGAAAACTCCTGAATCCATGATATGGAATCCCAGGCCCAAGCCATTAAAGTCTCCTCCCATGTTTGGGATCACCAAATTTAAGCCCGAAAACTCCCAACCCCCAAACCCCTCTCAATCTTAACCCTCAGCGTAACGTTCCCAAAGCCAAAGACATGACATCCCCAAGTGATCCCACCGCCCCTCTCTCGAAAAAAACCTATATAACTCAAATATGTACCCTATAATCCCTACATATTATATAACCCGTTATAGTAGTTTCCATTGTATCTTCCATTATCCCTACATAACCCCCATAATAGTACCCCTATATCACCCATTATAGTAGTTTCCATTATATGTTTCATTCTCCTCATATAACCCCTACATTACCCTAAACCCTAAACCAGAATCCCTAAACCCTAAACCCTGAACTCTAAACCAGAATCCCTAAACCCCAAACCTAAACTCTAAACCCTAAACCCTAAACCCTAAACTCTAAACCCTAAACTCTAAACCCTATACTCTATAATACCCCTAGGACGCCGGCTCGCTGAAGCGCTCCTTGAGTTCCTCAGCTGTTCAGAAACCCTCTGGACATAGCGGTTTAGGGTTTAGAGTTTAGGGTTTAAGGTTTAGGGTTTAGGGCATGGAAACTATAGAGAGAAAATGGAAACTATAGCGATTATAGGGATCATAGGGGCTATATATTCGGGTTTAAGGTTTAGGGTTTAGGATCTGGTGCTATGAGGGTTATGTTGGGGTTGTATTAGGTTTTCTTGGGATAATGGAAAAGAAAATGGAAACTACTATAGTATAGGGCGTTATATGGCGGTACATATTGGGGTTTGGATAATGGATAGAAAATGGAATTATAGGGATTATAGGGATCATGTAATGTTTATGTAAGGAATATGGGGGGCATATTGGGGTTATATTGGGATAATAGAAAAAATGGAAGCTACTATATTGGGGGTATATAGGGTTTAGGGTTCATAGGGTTTAAACTGATGAGATAATAGTTCAAAACATGGTCCCTTGTAGGGATCAGTTTTGGTACGGCATCCAGTATTCTGGGCAACTCTGATTGGAGCGGCTACCCCTCGATTTTTTGAGGTTAAGTGTATTTTCCTGGGAACCCACAAGCCAAAAACAAAACCGAAGACCTTGGCCTGAACAAACATGGGCCCGGAAAAGGTGTCTCTTGTCGTTCCCTTTCCTGTATACCCCTCACATAAGACCTTCATGATCTGCAAAAGCACACGAAAGCTCTAAACCCTAAGCCCTTAGCCCTAGATCCCAAACTCTAAACCCTAAGCGCAAACCACTGAGTCCTAAATTCTGACTTGAACAGCCTAGGCTCCCGAAGCTGGGTTTCAACCTGCTTGGAAGCCTCCTGAGGCAAAGGATCGGGTTGGAGGCTTTTGCTTCCGGATCCCTTGCGGGTGGGCTTGCTGAAGGGTTGTAGACAGTTATGTACGACTGTGAAAAATTACGGTGAAGGGTTATGTAGTATGTAGGAGGCTAGGAGTATGGAGCGGCATGTAGGATTGTGGAGGAATGTGAGTAACGTTCTGGGGGATCGTGGTGGAGGATAATGACAGATGATGAGGGAGTATGTAGGGATAAAGAGGATGACACAGGGTGTTCTTGTAATTATGGGGCTTCCTTTGTGAGGGCTTCACAATTATCAAGATATTCTCACTGGCTTCTTTGCATCCTCATAGGGACCATATGCTAAGATAGTGACCGGCTATCTTTGAGAAACCACCAGGTAGAAGCACCCTATGTTGGGAGCTCACTCTGAATAGGAGCTCTGACTGAAGAAGGACAGCTAGGAAGCATACAAAGGCTTACGAAAATTGGATCCCTTTTTGCGGGAACCCACGATAAGGGGTAAATTAATTTGGGATCTATAAGGTCGCCCCCCCGCATTTCTGCCACCCTCGTATGAACCTTGTTGAGGCTAAATTGTCTCTGTTTTGTCCTGATTGCAGTGATACGCTCTACCCCAAAAATCTACATCTGAAAGTCTCCAACCAATGATGTTGAAGCATTGAACAGAACACACAACTCGAAATCAATTCGGCCCTCAGGCCCTAGACTATTGAATCCTAAAGCCTGAAACCCTGTAGTGAAACCCCCTGAGCCCGGAACTCAAGACCCCGAACCTTTGAACCCCCTTATCCCAAAAACCCTCAACAACTCTAAGTCCTTGTACCATAGCTCAAAACCCCATTCTCTGGAGTTCCAAGCTCAAAATCTCCAAGCCCTGAAGCCAAAATCTGAATCTGTCCTGGAACCCTCTCAAAGATACTTCTCTCTTCTGTTAATTGGGGGTTTAAGGTTTAGGGTTTAGGGGGTTTGAAGTCAGCAAAACCCAAAACCCTCTTTTCAGGAAACCCCTAGCTACCCTAATACCTACATACCTATTTATAGACCCCGGTTTCCATCTAACTTTCCATTGGAGTAATTATCCATTCTTCCGGGCGTAACACACCCTAAACCCTAAAGTGGTAGTTTCAATTTTCTTCTCCATTCCCATATACCACTAAATGATCTCTATATATCCGCCGACCTTGGGGGGCGTGTTGGATGGTTGCCGAAGGCGGAGAGGGTGAAAACCCTCTTCCTTCCGCCCTTACAGCCCCAAAACGCGGGGGGGGGGTGGG